CGTTTGAAAATTAGCTATAAAACATACGGCACTCAGAGGACAAACATTTAAGAATGGTGTGACCGAGGGTGTGACATGCAAGTGCTTTTAATAAGATTTATAATTTGATTATGTACAATTCCATACTGAATAGCCATAATAAGCCAAATCCATCATAGATACAAAAAAAAATTGGTGGTGGAGAAAACCTCCTCTACCACGAATTAGCCAAACATTGGTTTTCATCCTTTACCTTTGTTCGTAAAAGCTCTGATAGCGATGCATATGCTTCCATCTCGTTTGTCAGCTCAGATCAGCAAATGACGTTCGATAGAATTATTTACATCATCGTTTTGAATGATTTGCGTTATGGGGCTGAACCAATACCATATGCATTTCCATTTGGTATGACAGTCATTCTACAGAGAGCATTACGCATTTCAACTGAAGGCCCTATCCCTTCTCATAACAAGTTTCATCCAGTATTCGAGAGGAAAATCATTTGATTTCAAAGCAACCGTCATCCGGTTGCAGCTATCATTCGAAAAAGCGATTTCGGTCTTTTGTTTTGAATGGTCTGAGGTTTCATTCGATCAGAGGATGATGTTTGTGTACAGTGTACGGCAGTGTGGAAATTGCATATAGAGAGTAGATAGCGAGCTAGGACAATTTTAGGAAGGTACAAATGGGTTAATTAAGCTGTCAAATAGCGGAACCAATCGAGCAAATCACAACCAACAACAGAAAAGAGCACATCAGCTATTGCGATCAAAACTTCGGAAACCCTTTTCTCGTAACTCAAGGCTCGCCTACGCAAACCAACACCATCTTTGGGTTGATGAAAGTTTCCCCTATCCTATGATGCCGGTAATTTGCGTTCGATTGGCGAGGAAAGATTAATCAACGTTTTGTTTATAAAAGTTGTTAGTGCCTTTTCAATTGCTGGTCTACAATATATTGAATTGGTTCCGCTTTTTGATAGATCGAAATTCTATGCGCCAGACTATATAATATGCTTCCACCTCGTTTGTTTGCTCAGAGAAGCAAATGACGTTCGATAGAATTATTTACACCATCGTTTTGAATGATTTGCGTTAAGGGGACCAATACCAAATGCATTTCAATTTAAGATGACTATCATTCTGCAGAGAGCATTACGCATTCTAACTGAAGGTCCTGTCATTTTTCATAACAATGTTCATCTTGTATTCGAGAGGAAAATCATCTGATTTCAAAACAACCGTCATCCGGTTGCAGCTATCATTCGAAAAGACGATTTCGATGTTTCCATTTGAATGGTATGAGGTTTCATTCGAACAGAGGACGGCGGTTTTGTACAGTGGCACAAGATGTCTTGTTGTACTGCTGTCTACTCGGATCACCGCGTTGTGCGGTTGATAGTAGTGCTCGGAACCATTTTTTTCCAATTGATTGTCCGGAACTGGTTTCATGTGGCCATGCTTCAAATACTCGCGCATGAAACTGATATATTCCTTCTGGAATTCCGGGTTTGAAGCAAGTCGCTTTTCCGTAGCAAAGAGCCTCTTCATCGCAGCTTATAGGGACTCTCCGAGAGCGAAACGTCAAAAGGCAATTTTACGACGAAGCGTCCAGAACTATTGCATTGGTTTGTCGAATTGAAATGCTCAATGACCTTCTCAGAGGGCATGAATTGAGATGGCATCTCTATATGCAGACTCACAATGACATGATTCCCTTGCATGGTCTCTGCTTCGTCGTATCGTCCCGCTAAGATAGATCCGAAAACGTTTGGCCACTCTTGTCCTTGACCTGGCCTCCCTCCAAGAGAGCAATCCAGACATCCGATCCCAGAATCACATCAATTTGTCCAGGTTTGTTGAAGGTAGGATCTGCCATTTCGCTAACGTTTTTCCAAAAGCTTCAGGTTTTCGATGTTGAATCTTTGCCAAGGACGTAGGGACGCTATGGAGATCACAATGAATCGAGATGCAAAAAGCGAGTCGCAGCTGCAGTTTGCTGTCCGATACCAGTCATCACTACCCAAGTAACCAACAAGCCCGATAAGGGCCCTTTTTGCAATATAAAGTTGATATAAAGCTTGAAAGCCCTATATTAACCTTATCCGGCTATTAGCGGGCTACGCGGTTACTTGGGTAGCTTCCAATTACGCCTGACGAGCCTAGGTTCCGTACGATATCCTCCGTGACCATTGATGTCTGTCCACCAGAACCAATAGGCACCCACGAGCAAACGTACCATCTTCCTTTCGCATATGCACTACAGTTGTAGGAAATACCGGAATCGATGGTTGCTTCTCAACTGCTGCCATGAATGATTAAATCGCCTGTTCCTCACCGTCGGTTGGTGGATCCTTGGTTGGGTTGCTTGCTGTCGTCTTCACCTTGCTCGCATTTCGGCACAGCAACGTATGGTGCCGCTGATTACAGTCCGGTATATGGCACACTGATTTTGAGGGACACGATTTCGCTGGATGTGAAGCCCGTTGAAACACAGCTTCACCTGTTGCATCAAATCTACTTTCCTGCAGATCCATCTTCTTGAATTCTTCACAAACGAGCGTAGCATGTTCTCTGCAACACTTCTCGCTTTTGGTTGATTGTAGTTGTCACTAATGTCCTCACTCACTTCCACTTTCGCTTGTTCTTTTTTGTTTACTTCCACTTTTTTTCGAGAAAGCTGAGCAGGTTTCCAACATCTCACACCGCTTCTTCACGAACGTCATCAGCTCCTCAATCGTTGGATTTTTGTTGTCGACAGCTTTCTTCGACCAGGCATCGTGGCCAAAATGTCAAATGAAATTTTAGTGATTTATCATATAGAACTCATTTGATCACATGAATGTTATGTGAAATTCATAGATATCATTAGTGTTGTTAATAGAAAAATAGTATATGCATTCCCAATGGAAACTACATGAAAACTTTTTTTCCGCGTAGTAATACTCAGAGGGATGAGATATGGACGGAGAGAATATCTTGAGTAAAATGAACTTTCAAAATGTGAGCTAATCGAACATTCCCATTACATTTTTTCCGACGATTTTTTATTCTTACAACATTAAATTTGAGAGTATTGCAATCGAACATAAATTCAACCACCTTTCTGTTTCGATGCTTCTCAAATTCAACTAGTTTTTTGAATCAAAAACAATATTCTAACTCAATTGATTAATTGATGTTAGTTGGTTAATTAATGGCACCAAGAAATGGGCACTGAGGCAAATGGACGTAAGCAGTGATGGAAAAGTTCGCGAAAACTCACTATGACTCGCGAACTTTTCCATTGGTGAACTTCGTAAAATATCGCGAACTTTTCCAACACTGGACGTAAGAATTCCATAAGATCCACTTTTGAATTTCAGTCACAATAAATCAGTATGAATTTCACTAATTTGCCTAATAAAAAATATTGTTTATAAAAAAAAAATAATAAAGTAGAGCAGACTGGAACCGAACCATGGACGTTGAGATTACGAGTCCTGTGTGTTGACCACTCGTCTTTCAACGCTTGGGGGAATTAAAGCGTTATAGGCGTATAAGAGCTACTTCATGTTAGACGAAAATCATTCATAATTCACCGTTATAACATTCATATGAGTCGTTCAGTAGTCGAGCCTGATGAAATTCTTAAGTTTGCAAAATATTGCGATGCACTCAATTATTATTTTACACGTAAATCGAATCAAAAGTAAAAGTAATGTGAAATGCTAGCTTCTAGCAAGGGTTGCAAGATAACTTAGGTACAAACCCGCATAAACGCGAACCATAACTTAACCTTACCGAAAATGGTTAAAAATTGTTTATAATCCCTGCTAAACTTTAACTGAAATGGTTATGGAACTTTACATGAACGTTTGTGTGATAAAGTTCTAACCTTATGTGTTATGGTTTTTTTGAAGTGAACCTTGCAAATAATGGGTTGTTAAGAACCATTACCATTACAAATTCTTGTTTTCTCCATACATTTTCAGAAAGAAAACTATTAGAATCTTTTTACTAATGGTTTGAGAATTTTAATGGTAATTGTTATGGTAGTCAGTAAGGTCCATGGATGGTTTTGTATTGTCGTTCAACATTGGTAATCATTAATTTACAGGCAACTTATCCGCGATATATTCCACATAAAATTGATCGATGTTACAAAACCATCCATTGACCTTACTGACTACCATCAATATTACCGTTAAAGTTCTCAAATCATAAATAAAAAGGTTTATATGATAATTCCTTTTCCGAAAATGTATAGACAACACAAGAATTTGTAATGGTAACGGTTCTTAACAACCCATTATTTATACGGTTCACTTCCAAAAAACCATCATACATAAGGTTAAAACTTTATCACACAAACGTTCATGTAAAGTTCCATAACCATTTGTGGTAAGGTCAAGCAATGGTTCGCATTTATGCGAGAATCCCTGCTGCCGAATTGTATTTTGTTTTCTGTGTTCAATTGTTTTACCGAATCTCAGCTAAATAAATTGCAGAACTACTCGGCTGTTGGAATCTCGGCGAAAAAATTTAAGTGTGTATAATTATTTCGATTGTTTGAAAACATTTCATCGGGTTCAGAGGATGAGTATTTTATTATGTTCAATATTCATAATAAAAGAGAAAAACATTGAATCGGATGGAAGGATTTCTGGATTATTTTATTATTTTAAAGTGATTCTTAGGATTCTTTTTTACTGGACTAGGAATTTTAAATCACACTTCAGTTGCAATCCGATTATCCATCAACGGGTGTATAACTGTTCATCTTTCGTAGTACTTGCTTACATATTAAGCACTTGTTTTTTTTTATTATAGTTACTTAAACGCTCTTGGGTCATTCGTGACTTGTCCGGGGATGAGATTTGAACTCGTGACTTTGGCGTGAGAGGTATGGATGCTAACCACTACGCCAGGGTCGCCCCCAACATTAAGCACTTATTTTAAAGCTATCGTAAGCCCAATATACCATTCCATTGAAGATATTTCAATCGATTATTTGAAACTCTATTGCTTCTGATTTCGCAGCAACCACCGGCAGCACCACAAGGATATAACCAGATGCCGGGCCAACAGTATCAGCAGGGTCCAGCGGGTGCCCCACAGTACCCGCCGGGAGGGATGGCTCCTCCGCCACAGCAGAAACGTCTCGATCCGGACAGCATGCCCAATCCTATTCAGGTTATGAGCGAGAACCAACGCTCCAATGGTGGTGTGTTTGCGACCAACCAAGCCGGTCTGGTACCACCATTAGTGACCACCAAGTACACTACACAAGATCAGGGCAACTCCGGGCCACGCTTCATTCGGTCATCGATGTACAACGTCCCGGCCAACACGGACATGATGAAGCAAAGCGCTGTTCCATTTTCGCTAATAGTATCACCCTTTGCGCGACCCGCTGAGAAAGAACTTGCTCCACCGATCGTAAACTTCGGTGAACTTGGTCCTATACGGTGCATTCGCTGCAAGGCTTACATGTGTCCATTCATGCAGTTCATCGATGGTGGACGTCGTTTCCAATGTCTGCTCTGTAAGGCGACCACTGACGTTCCGGCGGAGTATTTCCAGCATCTGGACCACACTGGCCAACGCATGGACAAATACGAACGCCCGGAATTGGTTCTGGGAACATATGAATTTGTTGCTACCAAGGATTACTGTAGGAACAATACTCCACCCAAACCACCGGCAATGGTGTTTGTAATCGATGTTTCTTATAATAACGTTAAGTCCGGGCTGGTACATCTACTTTGCTCCGAAATGAAAAACATCATTCGCAACTTACCCATCGATGAGGGTCAGCAGAAGACCGCTATGAAGGTCGGTTTCATCACTTACAACAACTCGGTTCACTTCTACAACGTCAAAGACAGTCTGGCTCAACCACAAATGATGGTGGTCGGAGATGTCCAGGTTGGTATCCTGCTTAACTATTTTCGACGGTCGATTGTCCCACATTGCTGATGTTTGTTTCATACAGGAAATGTTCATGCCACTCCTGGATGGTTTTCTGGTCGATCCGGAAGAATCCAGTGCTGTCATCGATTCCCTGATGGAACAGATTCCCAAGATGTTCGGAGAGACACGTGAAACCGAGACCATTCTCCTGCCGGCACTTCAAGCTGGTCTCGAAGCGCTGAAGGCTTCCGAATGCGCTGGTAAATTGTACGTGTTCCATTCATCGCTCCCGACGGCCGAAGCTCCTGGTAAGCTGAAGTCACGCGACGATCGCAAGCTGCTTGGAACGGACAAGGAGAAGACGGTTTTGAGTAAGTTCATTCTTTTAATTATTGTGCCTAGGTATGGCCTATAGCCTTTATTTTTTCTACAGCTCCACAGTCAACGGTTTACAACATGCTTGGTCAGGAATGCGTTGGTGCTGGTGTGTCGGTAGACCTGTTCGTTTTCAACAACTCATATATCGACCTGGCGACGATTGGCCAGGTTGCCCGTTTAACGGGAGGAGAGGTCTACAAGTACACCTACTTCCAGGTATTTGTAATATGGTCGTGACCTCCGTGGATTGGGAATTAAACTCGATTTTTATTTTGCAGGCCGATATAGATGGATACCGTTTGGTTAATGATTTGATTAAAAATATTTCGAGGCCGATTGCATTCGACACCGTCATGCGCGTTCGTACATCTACTGGTATTAGGCCAACTGACTTTTTCGGACACTTCTTCATGTCCAACACCACGGATATGGAAATCGCCAGTATTGGTATGTGACTGTCTACTTTCTGTCGTAGGTATTGATGCTAATCGGTGATGCTTTTCATTAACAGACTGCGACAAGGCGGTAGCAATTGAGATCAAACATGATGATAAGCTAACGGATGAGAATGTATTCATCCAGGTGGCGCTGCTCTACACATCTTGCTCCGGGCAACGCCGTTTACGTATTCTGAATCTTAGCCTCAAAACGTGCACCCAATTGGCGGATTTGTTCCGCAGCTGCGACCTGGATACAACCATCCTGTTCTTCGCCAAACAAGGTCTCTTCAAGCTACTTGAGAACAATCCGAAAGCGATCAAAGATTCGCTAATCAATCGAGCAGCGCAAATACTGGCATGTTACCGCAAGAATTGTGCTTCTCCTACTTCTGCCGGGCAGTTGATCCTACCGGAATGCATGAAATTACTGCCATTGTACACCTCGTGTCTGCTGAAGAACGATGCCTTCTCAGGGGGTTCAGATCTGACCTTGGATGACCGGTCTTATGCGATCTACTTTGTAATGAGCATGGATTTGCCGACTTCAGTGCAATTCTTCTATCCGCGATTAATACCGATTCACGATGTTCAGCTTGAAGACACTGACGTCCCAGCCGCCATCCGATGCACGGCGGATAAAATGATGGAAGATGGTGCTTACATTTTGGGTATGTTCAACGACAAATCCTTCCTGGTAAAAATAGTTTTCAAACATGCCTATTATTCACTTGCAGAAAACGGTATTCATATGTTCTTGTGGCTGGGCTTGGGTCTTACACCGGAGTTTACACAATCGGTCTTCGGAGCACAGTGCACACAGCAGATCGATACAGACCGTACGGGTTTACCAGTATTCGACAATCCACTTTCAAAACGTGTTCGGGGAATTGTCGACAGTATACAGAACGAGCAGCATCGGTGCATGAGGGTAAGTGGAAGAATACGGCGTATCCTAACCTATCTGATTTGTACGAAGAAAATTGATTATTTTGTTTCATCCGATTCGTAGCTCACTTTGGTACGGCAGCGTGACAAGTTGGAAAACGTACTACGTCACTTCCTGGTCGAGGATCGCGGTATTAGTGACGGTTCCGCCAGCTACGTGGATTTCCTCTGTCACATGCACAAAGAGATTCGAACACTACTGAGCTAGCTGGATTGCAATGGAAACAGTTTGAGTAGTCGCTTTAGATTTACCTACAACAACAACAACAACAACAGTAACCATACTACAACGGCATCGATCAACAACAACAACAACATTATAAATAATTGTGCGCACCGTCAACGCCAAGTGCAGCAGGGTAGTGAGATTAACGGAAACCTTCAACCCATGCCCTGTGGTCAGTATCCGCGACGTCCGCCGAGTGACGATGGCGACGATGATGAGAACGATACCATCGAAGAGGAAGATGAAGAAGAGGAAGGAGAGGACAGCAATTCGGCTCCGGCGGGACATCATCAACATCAACAATACTACCAGCACCAGTACACATCGGCCTCGCCCGGCAGAAGCATCTCTCAGAATCGTACCAGAGCATTGCGATACCGTAAAGCATTCATGGGAAAGTGGTAATAGTTTTAGATGGTTTTCTTATACATTTATTATTTTTTAACATATTACGATTATTTTTTCACTCTAGACCTACCTATATATTGAATGATGACATGTGCGACAAACGATAAAAAAAAACCATAAGAAACCTGTAAAACTAGCCGGGTGTGTTTTGCTTAGATGTTTACATTGAACGTGAAGTGAATCAATTAACTTAACATTTACACATACCTACCTACTTGTTGACTATTACAGGTAATGTCTATGATCAAGAAGAAGTACTAATACTATAAATAATTGCAACCGACTATTGAATGTGAACAGAGAAATTGTGAATTTCACGTGTACTAGTGTAATGGGTTTAGGAACTAATTGATTGGCATAAGAAGAACGCGAAGCATGAGAAGAGTTACTTTATTAATATATTTGAGTAAAGTGAGTAAACAATATACCCTCAATCGGATTACACACACAAAATAGCAAAAATATACGGAAATATTATTATCATTGCAAAACTTAGCGCGATCCATTTGAAAGAAAGCCTTATTGCGAGTTTCTTATGAATACTCTTCACGTCAATGCTATGTACGTGAAAACATAGGGTAAATGTTGGCTTCGGCACCCATTGACTGTTTTCGGCAACCAAAATTTAAACGTTAATTTCACTATGTTTTCCCATCAACGCACTTCCCTGAATGTGTCCAAACGATTGTTTAGCCTTCCAGCTTCAATCTGATTATATTTGAACGATCGAGCAATCCAGTAATGCTACATTTTTCTTCAAATAAAGCATACGCACTACAAAATGGGGTTGATTTCGAGTTGCCGATAATAGAACAGCTGGTTAACACGCAGTTCTAATGGGAAGGTTGCCGAAGAAAAAGAGGCTGCCGACAATAGTCACACTCACCTGAGAAGTTTGGAGCGTTGTAAAAACGCTTTCAAAACGTTTTGAAAAATTCTGTCGATTGGAATGGATAGAGAAGCAAGCAGCAGATGAATGTAAACAAACAGACACATCATATATGTGCGTGACGCTGAGAAAATGCTAGTAGAAGTGCAGACGCTGCTTAGATTGACGAGAATACGTAAATTCCCCTACGTAGATTTTTTTCCATCGCACTTTTTTCACGTATACGAATATATTAATTTTCAACTAGCAATAATTGCGCCTCGGATTACGATATCGCCTCTGCGCAAAGCTACGTATACGAATATATGGAAGAACTTGGTTCATTGCACTCCAAGAAATTGATTTTTTAAAGAGGCTATGCCAAAAAGAAGCGTTTTGCATAAAATTCTCAAACTTCTTAAAGATTCAATCAATTACGCTCAAAATTCTACCGATACATATCGACTACTAGCAGCCAAGATTACAGAATATTTTACGTGTATCTATATATACATAAATTAATTTCTATCTGACCCTTATAGACTCGGAAACTACTGAACCGATCGGCGTGAAAATTTGTATGCATGGGTTTTTGGGGCAGGGAAAGGTTTTTATGATGGTTCGAGACCGCTCCCCCTCTTTAAAGGGAGGCTCCCATACAAATGAAACGAAAATTTCTGCAACCAAATTTGGCATGTGGAGGTCACCAGAGGTAGCCCCTTAGATAAGAGGGGGGGGGGGCTACGTACAATATAGCATGCTTTTATTTAATTGGTGCATAAACTCAACCTAATATTGAATCCCGAGCAAGGCCGGGCACACTCAGCTAGTACATTATAAACTAAAGAATCTTCACTGTCATGTGCTATAGGTTATATAGTTAAAAAGTTACAGCTGTTTTTGTGTACACAATAAGAAGTAGCATTAGTTTCATTTTCAAGCACAGAAGGGGGTCATAGGGACAGGTATCCAGTGAAACATCACAGTCCATGCTGCACAAGGGTAAAGATTTGGCACCACAGAATAATAATCACAGGGATCAAGTGAATCCTGCTTAAGAGGTCGGATAGGTAGGAATAGTGTTTCATGTAGGGGATAGTCGGAGTAACAGTATAGTAATAGTAAAAGTTGGAAAGTAAACGTTCAGAAGAGCTTGTTTTGCAATACCGTAAATCTTGTTTATGATTTCATTTACTTGTGTTATTGATTTGAATTTTTTTCTTGATTTTGTTTTCCGTGCTGGGCACCAATGCTACCGACGCCAGGGAGGCAGCTCCCACACCTGGATCCTACCTATCGACCCATTAGCTCATAAACCGGGGACCAATGGCTTTACTTCTCTTCCGAAGAAAGGCGTGATCAGAGATGTTATGCCTCAGAACATCCCAGCGGCGCCGACTGGGATTGAACCGAGGCCTACTGAGGTGTGAGATTTTGGTTTGAAATGAGTTATTTAATTATATATGAATTCATTATTAAGAGTTCTGCTCTGCTTTGGATCAAATTTGAGAATTATTTGATGCTTTTCATTACATTAGCGTTGTTACGGTATACTTCGTAGATTAGATTTAGTGTTTCTGCGTTAAAGTATATAGTTTATTGAGAGGTAAGGAATTCCAATGCGATAATGATTTAAACATTTCAACTTTTAGTTATTACGACGCTTTATGCTCTCGAAACCCGACGATGACAGTTTATTCTGTTGTGGGAGAGCTTGGGATTAATCCCATGATTTTCTGCTCAGTAAGCAAAAACGAACCCTTCAGGGTGGGTTATCGATCATCTCAAAACCACTACACTCCATGACAAACTATGATTAAGTTTTCGCTTGGTATGTAATGAACAACAGAGATACGTGATAATTCATATAGTTTCTGCGGTTGATGGTTAATAAGCTAATGCCAGTGAGAAGCTACAATATCCCCCTACCAGATACAGACAATTGCATAGCAATCCGAACCCCCATAAACACCTTGCCGAAGGTGGGAGAGCTTAATCTCATGCTGTAGACCTGCATGGAAGACCAAGACATTGGCCCGAAACCCGAAATAATGGTTTCACATATTATTTTGACTCATTTTTTAGCTACGTCATAGTACGTTTATATTTATAAATGCACTGACATCAGGTGACGATACTAGTTAGATTTAAATAATGTACATTCTATATTTAATCGATACATTTTAGGGAAAACGACTAGAAAGCAGGGTTGCTTCCACTCACTAGCTATAGAGACATGTTTTTTGGAGTTTTGAAATTATTGGATGGTGTCAGGTGGTCGTGATGGAAGTACTGACCCTAAACGAAATATACTTTAGATAGAAAACTAATCTCGGAATGAAGCATTTTATCACAGAAAAGTGTTACTTGAGATTGAGATGGACAAAGACAAGATAAATTTTGCGGATCGAAGTAGAAAGGTAGGATAATAAGAAGAAGATAGAGAGAAATATTACTTTTAGGCTGATCTCGTGGGAAGAATAGGATGCGAGGGGTCCGCATAGGATGGCAACTACTGTGTTACCTGACTACTTATAACGAATATACGTTGTATACGAGTATTTGCATAGCATTTGTAATGTAAAATTAGACAAACTATACGTTGTATTCGGGGTACTCGTATACAACGTATATTCATTATAAGTCGGGTAACACAGTAGGCCTTAAATATGTACACACTAATAGCGAATTCGTTTATTATTCAGTTCCAACCTGGATCGGGTATCAGAATTGGGTCTGCTTGTTTTCTGACAAACGTCAGTTTACTCGTTTGTTTTTAAACCCTAGCTCAGGTTGAGGTTCGCACTGCCGGCGCCGGTGGTGTAGTGGTAAGCGTGACTGCTTTCTAACACCCCAATGGGTCTGGGTTCAATCCCAGCCGAGGTCGGTGGGGTTTTTCTGAGGCATAAAAATCTCTGGTCACGTCTTCCTTCGGAAAGGAAGTAAAGCCGTTGGTCCCGGCCCATGTGTGTTGAATGGGTGCGATATCCTACGCAGGTGTGGAAGCTGCCTTCCTGCACATTCGATTGCCGTCAATGGATGGCAATCGATGTCCGTCGGTGATTGGCACTAGATTGCGGAACAGAGACCGACGTTAAATAAAGGAAAGAAGAAGAAGAAGAAGAGGTTCGCACTGACAAAAAGTTCGGTTTCGCACTGGGTTGGAACTGGTTCCAACCCCGATAATAAACGAATTCGCCTATAAGTTTTTTTTTATTACCGAGCTCAGCTGTGCAAATCTCGGCAAAAAAAATGTTACTGGGATTTCAGCAAACATTTCATTTGTTTGCTGAGATTCAGCTAAGCATTATCTCAGACTCAGCAATCAAATGTCACTTTTACTGAGATCACATAAATCACATTTCCAATGGATAATACCCCGTTCACATTACAGCGTATATCACGTGATATCCCTAATAAAAATTGTATGGTTAATTTGCTTAACGACGTGTTCTGGGTATCATCCAAACCATTTGTGGAATAGTTCAATGATTTGGGTTATCGTTCGTTTATGGTTATTTTTTATTAGGGATACGCTGTCTTGCAATGAGCACTCATACATCTAGTTTTCACTGGAAATCCTATGTATGAGTGTTCATTGCAAGACAGCCTATATTACGTGATATAGGCTGTAATGTGAACGGGGTATAAGACTTTCACATAACTTTCATGTGATTTCATAATTAGGAATCGTACCAGCAAATAACACGAGCCATATGTGTCCAATGGAGTTTATGTGATTTATCACATAGAATTCATGTGATCATATGAATATTATGTGAATTTCAGATAAAAATCAATAATCATGTGTATTCCCAATAGAAACTATATGAATACTTTTTTCAGTGCAGAGAATTTAAAACATTTCACTTCACATTTCGGTTTGTCTAGCAACACTCCACAGCTTTTTTCTCAACTGCCGGAGTGATCCGAGATTTGAGCGTAATTGCTTTTGTAAACAATGTAAACAATCGCTAATTTCTAGCGGATAAATGCTCAATCTCTAAAACTAATGACACAATCAGATGATTCCTCTATGATTTGGTATAGTTTGTCTACAAGATTCAGATTTTATTCGCGAGAAATCGTAGATTGACGTGTTTGTTTACAAAAGCAATTACGCCCAAATCTCGAATCAGTTTGGAACTATCTCCGCACAGCTCCCACAGCTCAGAAACTAAAGCCCTACGGTAAAAGTATGGATGACTGCAACCAGAAAACTGAAAAAAAAAAATTCAGGCATAACATTTGATAACGGCACAAAAGCCGCGAACCAAAGTACGCCCATGCAAACCAACAACATCATCGGATAGGGACAACTATCACCTTTCCGAAAGTGGTATTGGTTTGCGTGGGCGTACTTTGGTTCGCGTGTAAAGGGCCTTAGAAAGTTTGTTTACAAATGCTTTTGTGCCGTTATCAAATGTTATGCCTGAATTGTTCCAATCGAGTAAAGAAGTGCATTTTGACCAGGGGCCTGGCTAGCGGCCATGTTTTTGATGCTATCATCTACTCTTGTCTTTCTGCTTATAACACGATTTTTCGTCCCTTTCCACCATGCATACGTCAGGCGGGCCGTATTTAAATAAGGCCCGAGATGTTGCCTACTGTCAAACGTATAGGATTGATATAGGGTTGCCAGCCCCCTGATTTTGACAGTGTTCGAATGGAACAATTTTTGGCAGACGTCCATACTTCTAGATAGAGCTGGAATTAGGGCGTAACAGCCTTTGTAAACAATGACTTCTATCGATGATTTCTAGAAACTGAAGACACGCCCACGCAAACCAACATAACCGTCGAGAAGGGGAAGTCTTCTTCTACCCGATGGTGTTGTTGATTTGCATTGGCAAGCCTTAACTATCTAGAATCATCAAAAGAAATCATTGTTTACAAAAGCTGTTACGCCCTAATTCCAGCTCTATCTAGACTTTTACTGTATAGGGCTTTAACAGAAACCGCTTGTCTTTTTGCCCTTGATGTGACATTCAATTATTTTTTTTCCTGCTGCCGAAAATCATTTTCAAAGAAGCACTCGTCGGTGTATAATCTACTGATCTTCACTCCGCAAAAAACTCTATTATTCTCAGGCCGTTTGTTCAGGTTTCCAAATTCAGGATGGCTCTTAACAAACTCAGCATTGAAAATGTTGATCTGAAGGGAAAACGCGTTTTTATGCGGTAAGTATATCTATTACATGATGGCGATTAGGTTGATTGCGCTAGCCATAGTAGTATCAATCGTAGACAATTGCTTATCACTTTCATTTTCTTTCTAGTGTGGATTTCAATGTCCCAATCAAGGAGGGCAAAATTACCAGCAACCAGCGTATCGTAGCTGCCCTGGACAGTATTAAATATGCACTGGAAAAGGGTGCCAAATCTGTTGTCCTTGCTTCGCACTTGGGTCGTCCGGATGGCAACAAAAATGCCAAGTACACCCTTGCCCCGGTGGCCGATGAGATGAAGAAGCTGCTGGGTCGAGATGTGACCTTCCTCAATGACTGCGTTGGTGCTGAAGTTGAAGCTGCATGCAAGGATCCGGCTGTAGGATCGGTGATCCTGCTGGAAAACGTCCGATTCTACGTCGAGGAGGAAGGCAAGGGCGTCGACGCTTCCGGTAATAAGGTATGTGTGACGATGCGACTGTGATTGGTCGAAGCACTTTCGCTTTTTCGATCGTTCTATAAATATAGGACTTATTGTTTGGGTTTCATTGTTATCGTGCCAAGTAATTAATTGCATAATATTACGTCATTATTCACTAATGATCGATATAACACTTGTCATGAGAATATTAGAATAAGATTTTTCTTTTCTTGTTTTGTAGGTCAAGGCTGACAAGGACAAGGTTAAGACCTTCCGTGAAAGTCTTGCCAAGCTGGGTGATGTGTACGTGAATGATGCTTTCGGAACGGCTCATCGTGCACACAGCTCCATGATGGGTGAAGGATATGCCCAACGTGCTGCCGGTTTATTGTTGAACAAGGAACTGCGTTACTTCTCACAGGCTCTGGATAACCCACCACAACCATTCCTTGCCATTTTGGGTGGCGCCAAGGTTGCCGATAAAATCCAACTGATTGAAAATCTGTTGGACAAGGTCAATGAAATGATCATTGGTGGTGGTATGGCATTTACCTTCTTGAAGGTCCTGAACAATATGGAAATTGGAGGATCATTGTTCGACGAGGAAGGATCAAAGATCGTACAAAAGTTGGTTGACAAGGCAAAGAAGAATAATGTTCAGCTGCATTTGCCAGTGGACTTTGTTACTGGCGATAAATTTGCCGAAGATGCTACCGTTGGCGCTGCTACTGTTGAAAGTGGAATTCCCGCTGGACACATGGGTCTGGATGTTGGACCAAAGTCGCGTGAAGCGTTTGCTGCACCGATTGCACGTTCTAAGATCATCGTCTGGAACGGTCCTCCTGGCGTTTTCGAGTTCCCCAACTTTGCTAATGGAACGAAAGCTCTGATGGATGGTGTAGTTTCAGCAACGAAGGGTGGAACCGTATCTATTATTGGAGGTGGCGATACTGCCTCGTGCTGCGCCAAGTGGGGTACGGAATCTCAGGTTTCGCACGTTTCGACAGGTGGCGGTGCCTCCTTGGAGCTGCTGGAGGGCAAGGTCCTGCCAGGTGTCGATGCTTTGAGCAGCGCATAAATGGTCTACGGAGAAATGCTCAGCACGGAATTGAAAGGTCATGACCGTTAGCTGTTATCTCGTGCTGACCTATTCTAATCATTACAAGTTTATGTTTTAGTAAAGGAAAAAGAAAGTCAAAACTCGTCGTCATAAAATAATCAATGTGCACCTAACGCTAAGATGTACGTTTAAACTGCATAGTATGCTGTTATCAGGAGAGAAAATAAAAATCATGTGTTACGTATTAGAGAACAAAACCAAAACATAAGCATTTTATTTAGAGCAATGATCGCGTTCAGAATCATAAGGGCCTAACTGCGATGATCGATTCTCTTAATCGATTTTCTCTATTGTTAATAACTCGGTAGCGAGAAAATCGATGAAGGTTGAATCGATCATCGCAGTTAGGCCCTTATGATTCTGAACGCTAGAATTTTTTTTTAACAACCAGGAAAATCCACGTTTGTTGAAGATGGTTTACACTTTAAAAACCTTCAAATTTACTTTTTCGTCCATTTTGATTTAAAAGTTAAGCGCATTATAAAAAGCCATCTATTTTCATGTGATAAAATAAAGCACTTTGTTCTTGGAAAATCACTTGCGTCAGGTATGCGGTTCTATCATTGTAGGAGATAGAAGCAGCTATCCGAAGCATTGAATCCAACAAGGCTCCAGGCCAGGGTTCGTCGCATGTTATCAGAGATGCGCAAAGCTGACCCCAGGCTATCCGCACAAATGTTGCATAAATTCAGTGTGAAACCGAACTTTTTGTCAGTGCGAACCTGAACCTGAGGTAGGTTTTAAAACAAACGATCAAACTGACGTTTGTCAGAAAACAAGCAGAGCCGATCTTGATACCCGATCCAGGTTGGAACTGAATAATAAACAAATTCGCTATTAAGGACTGTAGAGATCGAAGCGAAGCGAAAATCTCATACAAAATACTAAATTTTTCACCAGCGTGAAAAACGCAATTGGCAAATTTTTCACTTCGCTTTGAACTGTAAACAGATACGATCCAGCGAAATCTAATGTTGTGGATCGCATCTTTTTCGCTTACGTTTATTTTTTTTTTCGCGCATGCAGCGCTCGCGAAAAGAGCAGCAGCTAAGCGAAAAGTTGACGTTTCGGAAGAGCGTATCTGTCAGATTTTCACTTCACCGGAGGTGTAAACTGATCGATTTCGTTTCACTGTTTCACATGAACTGTAAACTGCGAAGGTTGGAGGCGAACCAGCCCAAGGCTGAAAGCCTCCTTAATAAAGTTAAATAATAATAATAATAATAAACTGCGAAAAAAGGAAACTGGAAAATGTTTTAGAAAATGAGTTTAGCAGCGTACCGTTACGGTTGCTCTTATGGTGGTAAGCTCCAACTCGGATTAACTTTTAATACCGTCCCTGTTTGGATGATCTGCAAAATATTTGCTTAAAGTCGCGTTGATTCACTCTGATGTCGACATCAAAGCAGCCGGACATTCTTGATCGGGATTTAATCCGAGGATAATATCAGTTGGAGCTTACCACCATTAGTGAAAGTTGCAAATCTAGAGCAACATGTGAAAAGGGCCTATGTTCCAAATGTGGCTTTAAACTAAGAAAACCAACAGCAGCATCTGGTACCCGCATAAACGCGAACCATAAATTGACCTTACCTAAAATGGTTAAAAATTGTTTATAATCCCTGCTAAACTTTAACTGAAATGGTTATGGAACTTTACATGAACGTTTAATGATAAAGTTTCAACCTTATGTATTATGGTTTTTTGGAACTGGACCTTACATATAATGGGTTGTTAAGAACCATTACCGTTCCAAATTCTTGTTTCCTCCATACATTTTCGGAAAGAGAACTATATTAGAACCTTTTAACTTATGGTTTGAGAACTTTAATGGCAATGGTTATGGTAGTCAGTAAGGTGCACGAATGGTTTTGTAACATCGATCAACTTTATGTGGAATATATCGCGAATTGGTTGCCTGTAATTTACTGATTACCAATTCACGATATATTCCACGTAAAGTTGAGCGATAATACAAAACCATTAATGGACCTTACTAACTACCATAACCATTACCATTAATGTTCTCAAATCATAATTAAAAACGTTCTTATATAGTTCTCTTTCTGAAAATGTATGGAGAAAACAAGAATTTGGAATGGTAATGGTTCTTAACAACCCATTATTTGTAAGGTCCAGTTCCAAAAAACCATAATACATAAGGTTGAAACTTTATCATTAAACGTTCATGTAAAGTTCCATAACCATTTCAGTTAAAGTTTAGCAGGGATTATAAACAATTTTTAACCATTTTAGGTAAGGTCAATTTATGGTTCGCGTTTATGCGGGTAGAGTAAGTTTGTTCTATCAAATAGTATAGTTAGTTTGCGTGGACGTGTTGTGATTCATGAGCAATCGACGTTTAAAGTCATTGTTTACATTCGGCACATAGGACATTCACATATTGCTCTAGAAATAATGGGGATCTGACTGTGTGCGACATAATGTTAATGTGTTTAGCTCTCAAAGTTCTGTGCAAATTTATCTTGAACCGGGTACATAATAAGATCAACGAGACTTTTCGACGGCAGCAGACAGAATTCCGTGTCGGAAGATCTTATGTGGACCATATTGTGACGAGCAGGGTAATGAATTCCTAGAGTCCCTATATTTGGTGTTTATTGACTACGAAAAAGCTTTCAACCGACTCAATCTCAAGAATACGTGGGACGTAAGGGAATCCCGGATAAAATCGTCAACCTCATCAAAGCACTATACGAGGTTGTCACGTGCAGAGTCCTGCATAATATAGCCTTGTTCGACTCAATCCGGGTCGTCACTGGTGCCAGGCAAGGATGTGTCTGGTGGTCTCACAACTAGATCTAGAATCTACTAGATCTACTAGGTCACAACTAGAATGCCGAGCTCCATCGTCGATGGACATACTTATTACGATGCCAAAGGTCGAAGAGACAAAAGGCTGGTAATGCCAGCGCCGTAGGTCACACACTTAAACAGAGACCCTGAGTTCGGTTAAAAAAAAATACCGTCTTAGATCGGTAATGCTAAAAATTACAGATGTTTCGGTATTTTCCCGGTTTATTGCTGAAAACTGTAAATGAAATGACCGAATTTCGGTAATTTTATTTTAATTTACCGAAAACGTTAAACATTTCTACCGGCAGGTCTGTAAATCAGCTTCATCACTGACTTCGGTGAAATATTTTACTGAAGTTTCGGTAAACAAAGTGTTCCATTACTGAGTTCGGTAACGGTCTAGGTAAACGTCAAATCCACCATATTGTTATTTTCGATCGACATTAAAAGCGTTCGTGCTTGTGAAAAATAGAAAAAGGTGACATTATGGAGGCTGTTATGCAACACCAAGATGAGCGAATCGTAGATATTTTCCGTAAATAATTAATTTTCGTTATCTTAATAAATACCGATTACAGATGGCCGATGTTTGCTTGTTTTTTTCTGTCGGTCCAAGTTCCATCCCCGTTGGCGACGATCTGAAAACAGCATTTGGAATCTTCTTCCTTGGTTTCAGTGTAGCACCGAATCTTTCCGACAAAAACTTAGCTTTTCAGATCGTCGCCAACGGTTTTGTTCATTGGTGGTGCAATATGCAACACTAACTGATTGATCACGGCTGCAGCCAAATTTTTGCATGGGTGGCAGTGACCGCCACCTTGAAACAATATTAAAGCAAATTACAGTTGAGTCGGTGACCTTTTAAAAAAATTACTGATCTCTCGGTAATTTTCGATTTGCATATCGTCCTCAAAATTACAGTTCTCCGGTAAAGTCGATTACAAAACAAGCAATGCACATCGGTAAACGTTACCGATCGTTCGGTAAATTTGACAGCTAATTTTGCTGATCCAGTTTACAGATTTTTCGGTAATGTTCTCGATTACCGAAAACATTACCGACCGTTCAGCTGTTGAGAATTCGGTAAATGAATTACCGAAGTCGGTGATTTTTTCTAAGTGTGTATGTATCTATATATTGCAGTTATGCTAATTCTGAAATTAAAAAAAATCATTCCGCTGTCATTGATTATCAACATTTTAATTATTGGAATCCGATAACTAGAAAACGGAATCCCTCCTACAGCTGCCCTGGATGATCTAAAATGCTTTACCATGAATTGAATATAAAAAGCTAATATCATATAATTTGAAAACTAATGCCATGATGCAATAAATCATAAACGAATGAAATACAAATTAATATTATATATGTAACATAATTTCATATAAGAGGAAGGAATAAGAATTAATAGTAAAGTAAATAAGCATGTAGTTAAATGTAATATAACATGAAGTCTGTAATAACATTTACACCCAGTACAGTATTATTTAACAATATATAATGGGATGAAAGAACATAAATTGTAATTAAAAAAAATGTAGCATAATATAATGAGATGAAATAATAATAATAATAATAATATGCAGGCTGATCGAACATAAAATACCATTAAATAAAAGATGACATTGTAGCAACGATTGAAAAAGAAGAATGAAATAATCAAAAACATTCTCTATTTACCCACATTTCAATATGGGATCAAGATCGGCACTTACTTCTGAAGTCTTGTAATCAATCCCATCTAAAGCCACTAGGGGTCCAATGTGCTACTACCATAGACGTAACTCTAAGACCACTGGGTCCCGAAGAAAATCATTATTATTTTTGGCTCACTCAGTACCAGAACAACGGTCCCAAGCAGTCCCAAGCTATTTCACTCACCCCTGCATGTTCTGCATGAATCCACACACCCCTGATGTTATCTGTCAAACTTTCATAGCGAATCAAAACAAACATAGTGTAGTAATAGAATTTCAACTAGAATAGGGTACGTTAATCGTTTGCTTGGGACCAATAGGCTACTAAAGTGGTGAGCCAATTTAAAATCGTTAGTTTCGTATTGATTGTTGGTAGTAGTGTTGCCATGTGGTACAATCCAGTAGTAGTGGTGTTGCCATGTGGTACACTGAAAAATTGCAATAGCAGGTTAGTCAGTTAGTCACCAAAGTTTTCGAGCCGCTCCGTCTGTCACTTCGTTTGTGCAACTATTGGATTGAACTAGCATTTTCACCAAATGTACTAGAATATTTTGGTTCTATCTCTTTCACCAAATATTATAAATTAACAATATGGTTCACTTCCAGAATTCCCATATATTTCTGAAAAGACGCATAAGTAATACCATAGAGGTAACTCTAAGACCACTGGGTCCCGAAGAAAATCATTATTATTTTTGGCTCACTCAGTACCAGAACAACGGTCCCAAGCAGTCCCAAGCTATTTCACTCACCCCTGCATGTTCTGCATGAATCCACACACCCCTGATGTTATCTGTCAAACTTTCATAGCGAATCAAAACAAACATAGTGTAGTAATAGAATTTCAACTAGAATAGGGTACGTTAATCGTTTGCTTGGGACCAATAGGCTACTAAAGTGGTGAGCCAATTTAAAATCGTTAGTTTCGTATTGATTGTTGGTACAATGTCCTGACGTCAGCCCGAAAAAAAAATTACAGTGAAATTTTCAGTGGAAACAATGCTCTAACATTAATATTTATTGTCGACAATAAAAATTATTGTTATAATGTTGTACCCTTCCGAAAACGGCAAAACTGCTACCTAGCTGTACAATGAATGTACATAATAAAATGTTGTTACAATGATTTTTATCGTATTTTTCATTTATTTTATTGTTAACATGATTCGATCATGAACAATAATGAACAATTCTATTACAATAAAAATTGTTGTTACATTAAATATTGGTGTGTTTTCATTGTGGGTTACTTCACGAAAAATAAAAATAAATCTGATTGAAGCATGCAGACTATGAGAGGGTCAGCAACACTGCCAATGTAATCAAGATCAAGGTGACTACATATAGGTGTTCTAATGTGTCAAATTCATGATTCAGCCATGTTGGATTTTTGTATGGGACAGCAACCGAGTTTGTTTACAATTTGCACTAAAACCGCACTTTTCCCCCCCCGCGACCTCCTCGCCTATATAGTGACAAAGCTGTATCACCATTTATATACCCACCATGATCAAGATAGGCGCTGCTCGTATGGCTCTTGCTTTGACAGTTCGTTTGGCTCAAAACCAGCCAGTCCGCGTTAAAGCCCTACAGTAAAAGTATGGACGTCTGTCAAAAGTTGTTCCAATCGAACCGTCAAAATGCACCGCTTTGCTCGATTGGAACAGCTTTTTTCAGTTTTGTGGTGACAGTCGTCCATACTTTTACTGTAGGGCTTTAGTCCGCGTCCGCTCATCTCTTATCCAAAATCCCGCTTAATGCAGACCTTTTCCGTGCAGTCAATAATAATAAAAAATTCCACCACTTGAAGATATCAGGAGGGAACTCTCAGGTGGAAGCATATTTCATGAGCGATTCTCTCCAGTCGAATTCATTACTTTATCAACGACGCTCAACCACCAAGGAGACGTGACCTAGGGATATCGAGTGCAGGGGAGTTGGCCTCCATTTCTCACAAGTTCCGGATCGAATCTCAATCCATAACCAGTAAAAAAAGGACTCACCCGTAACAGACATATACCCCCTTCCCGGGGCGATGTTTTATTTTTTCGATTTATTTTTAAAGTCGATAAAGTAGATCTGTCAAGCCAACACATACACTCTAAAGTACACTGTTATTTTTTTAAATCAATAAATTCGTCAACCAACAGTAAAATAACAATATTATATAATGTTATTGAAAAAAAAATATATGGGGAAATCACGAAAATTTCATTGTTAAGATACTTAACAACCCCCCTTTTTTATTGTAAATTTTTCATTTACCATGAAATTTGCTGTTTTGTACAACATAAATCATGGTAAATTTATTGTAGCCGTAACAATATAAATCATTGTTAAGACAATAATTTTCGTCTTATTGTTACATTGTTTTTAATTGTATTTTTGTTGTTATTTTTTTTTCGGGAGGGTAGGCGTGTAACATGCATGAGAAAGCTAATACTGTTTGCCACACCTTTTATTTGACTAACCGTATGAATTGAATACACGCTTAAAAAATAAGGCCACAAATGTTTTTAGTCACCTTTCTCACCGGGAGAGGGTATTACTTATGCGTCTTTTCAGAAATATATGGGAATTCTGGAAGTGAACCATATTGTTAATTTATAATATTTGATGAAAGCTTGTCACGCAAATAGAAGGAGCACCGTTGGGCACTTTCTGAAATATTTCAATAGTATAATTCCCTTGCAAAACCCAAATAAATCTATCTGCGTACAAATAAATTAAATAAGAGTGATTTGCGAAAAACCCGCCAGTATCGCACCCAACGTCAGTGCCTATACGTAAGCGTACTACAACGCGGTTTTCAAATAAAGGAGTAACAAGTGTGATACTATCACTTCAGGCTAGAATTTTGGTTCTCTTATGCAATGGTTCATCAGAGAGGGGAAGCTCAGTAATCCTCATCGCATGCTCATGACGCCATGAGCCAACGATGCCGGACCTAAACCAACCGTCTCCAACGCTCCACTATAAAGCATAAGATTAGGCCCGCCCACCAACGTCCAGGTTAAAAACTAGCCAAGGGGAGGGAGTTTAAACTTAGGGATATTTCGGATAAATACAAACGAGATACCTATGATTGATTGCACTATCGATCTAGTGTTAATAACTTTAAATTTTTACAACCTTTTATTCCTCAAAGAAGAATAAAATGCTACCATGTTGCATGATATAAGTCTAAATCTAGCCAATCTAGGGAGGAAAAAAGTGCTAAATTTAATCTTTTACGTCCACCTGTTCGTACCGCGACTTCATCATTTTCTTGATATACGTTTTGTAGTCATCTCCCGTGGCTCCGTAATTTGCTGCCTTGATGCCCAGCCCAACATTTGCCACCCGTGATTCAGTCTAGACCAAAAATTACACGTTTTGATAAGGAATTGTGATAAAACCAAATTTAACTTACCTCAATTATGTTTGTTCGGCCTTGGTTGCTTCTGCCCAAACCTTGCCCTTCGGACCAACCCATCTTTTGAAGTAGCTTGTTTCCTACGTTGTTCTGACTAATAGGAACGGCGGCCAGATTTGGAGCTGAGTAAGATGCTTGTGTCTGTTTCTCAATCTCACGCTGAAACCGTTCCTTGCTCTTGTTAACCGGTGGAGGATCGACTTCACCATACTTCAAACGACGCTCTTTCGCACGATCTCGATAGGCACCACCTTTGTTAGCCAAACCGCTCTGATTGGCAAATCCTATCTTCAGCTTTTGCAAGTTTTCCTTGTGTAACGAAGACATTTTCAAGTGCTTGTTCAGTATCTCCTGGGATTGGAATGCACGCTTGCATAGTAAGCAGGTCAGCTTTTCAAAGTCAACGTACTCCCGCTCTCCGATGGCATCATCGCATTCGTTATCTGAATCGGAGTTATACGATGAAACCAAATTGCTGCTTCCCTTGGTAACCGCTGCCTTAGCTTGTCCCATGAGGAAATTGGAAACCGCTTGGGTGCTTTGCTTCTTCTCTAGCAATGAGAAACCCACATCTGCGTAACCGCCCGAAGATTCTCCGGATCGAGAGGAGATCTGGCCGAGCGAGGAATATAGCGTTGCCTCTTCGACCCTCGCCGGCGGCTGTATCACGTTGTAGTCTTTCTTTTGATTGAGTTGCTTTGCCCACCTTTCCATATCTTTGACGATCTTTTTCGCCACCTTCACTTTGTCATGTGGCTGCTGGTCTTTCGATTTGGTTTTCTCAGTCTTCTCACCATTTGTGTTTGCAGAAGCAGCTTCTGCTGCTGGTGCTTCCGTGGAAGTTTCTGTCGTAGCTGCAGCCGTCGACGTCGAAGTAGGTGCTACAATGTACGTGCTTGTCTCATTATCCCAGTAGAGGTAGGAGCAGGTTTCATTGTTGTAATAGTATTGTGAATTGGAATCGTAATATAAACCGGTTGAAGGATCGTAGTAAAACCCGGAAGTCTCATCGTACTGATACTGCGAAACATCCGGTGTAGCTGGAGATGGAACATCATATTAATATTGTAGGAGCCAAGTCATTGTAGGTGCGGCTTTGATACTTACGGTAGGTCTTTCCGTCGGTGCCGTTGGGAATTTGCAACGGTTGGGGAGCCACCGTCGCTGCAGGAGCCGCCGTTGATTCTGATTTGTTTTTGGATCCTTGTTTACGAGCTAATGCCGATTGAGCTACAGCTGCGCCAGAGTTGGCCGTTTCTCCCATCTGAGCTTCTGTTGGAAAGTTGTTCACTTGGCCCTGTGAAAGAGGAACATGTTTTAAGTTATTTATATTAACTTTTCACTCATGTAATTATGTTCTTACTTGGTTGATTTGCGTTACATAATAATTTGTATAGAACTGTAAATAATGTTCATGCTCGGTCGGATTCGATGCATAAACCGATGCGCTATACTCCGCCAGTCTGGGAACATCCGCCATTGTGTACTGATACGAGTTTGGATAATTTCCGCCGGACGTGTTACCTCCAGCCGCTGAATCTTGGTAGTTGTTTCCGTTATTTGAAGGTTTAGCTCCGCTTTTAACCAGGTTTCGATTTTCTGTATCCATGCAGTACGAAATAAGCACTTCTCTGCTATCAATTTTCAGTATAGGTTCAATTGACTTCAGTGCATTGTGCGTGTTCATCGAATCGAGCAAGTTATCAAAATGCAGATAGCAAATTCCTCGCGAAGTTTGCGTTAGAGGGTCCCGACAAATCATTATTTTCGATATTTTAGAAACTAAATCCGGGATCTTCTCCTGCATCGCACAGAGCACACTTTCCTCGTTGGTCAACACGTCCAGATTACGGAGCATGATTTTCTTGGTGAGGATGTTACTGATCTCATCGCTTCCTTCACCACCCTTTTCGCTCTCTTCACGAGAAGCGAAACATTTGAAACAGTTCTCACGGCGTTTGAAGTTAAACACTCCACACTGCAGAAATATACCATATTATTAGAATACACCAATCTTTTCACGCAGAGAAATGGACTTTGAACACCGACGAACCGACGTGATAGCTCATACAAGCTACATTCAAATTCTTGAACAAGACGCCATATTTAAAATACGTTAAACACTACCGCAATCTACTCATCCGATCGCGTCATATCATGAGCAAGGACAAGAACACACGTAGAATTTATATTGCCTTGGTTTGCGTCTCACCTCGTTTGAAAGATCTGATCTGATCGCCCTTGACAGATCGAATCGCCCGTTTGACAAATCTAATTGTGGACAAACGAAATTCTCCTGTGGTATGTCGGTTCGTCGGTGCTTTGAATTCGACAAAAATATTGTTCATCCACCGCTGACAATATTTGGTTGATGAATCAACAATATTTAACAACAAGGTTGCTCAATAATAAAATATTGTTAGCCATCTGTGAGTCAACAATATTATTGTAGATTTTTTCTGCGTGGTGCTTTTACTGTGATCTTACCTTAGCACAGTACCAATCGGTCTGCGGTTTGTCCTTGGCACGCATTTCAGCCGGCAGTGAATAGGTGTACTGCATGATGGCTCGGTGATCGTTGAAAACCAACATCCCCTGAAACGGCACGTAAGAGAAAACAGAAAGACCAAGCGTTAGAATTCCGCACAACTAGTGAGCCTAGCGCTAACTCTTGGGTTCAAGCCGTTGGCTTTGGCTGCCATTTCACGCGAAGTGCTGCTTGGTCGAATCGAATATGCTGATTGCGGTCAAATGCGTGGGTAGAAATTACCGTCGAATGTCACACAGTAGAAGACCCGGTGGGCATTACGTTTTCTATCTCCTGATGTAGTCTCTCGAACTGATAAAATGTTAGTTGACAATGAATATCTTCTACAGACGGGCATTGCTGTTTCACATACCGACCATCTTACGGATGCCTGAATCATTCGATTGTCAGAATGTCGGCGAAATACGCGTTATACCCCGTACAGACTATGGCTTATTTAATGTAATATAGGCTTGCTTTGCAATAAACAGTCATACATCTAGTTTTCACTGGAAATCCTATGTATGAGTGCTCATTGCAAGACAGCCTATATTACATGATATAAGCCATAGTCTGTCCGGGGTATTAGGATAAGCAGCTAACGTAGACAAGAAAGGTTCAACTGACAACTTTATGGAAGTTGGAGCTAGAAAATTTCCGATGCACGGAAACTTAGAATATAATAGGGGAAATGCATCAGTATTGCAGGGCTGGTAGCAATCACTGCTGTTAAAAATACTGATGGTCACTAAACATTTTGATGAAATAAGTGACCAAATAGTGATTTACAGGTGTAAAAATAGTGACTAAAAAGTGACCTAAAAGTAAATTTTAATGAAAACTCTTAGGAATTTCTGAGGAGCTTCAGAGGAAAATTCCAAGGGCATTCTGAGCATAATTTCATAAAGTTTGTGGGAGAAAACTAATCCGGAGCATAAGTCATTGGATTTTTTTTTTGAAAATACTAAAGGAGGATTACAATTAAATCTGAGAATAACTCCAGGAAATCTTCACAGGAATTCGGAAAATGAATTCAGGAGAGTTTGCCAAACAAATTATGAGAAGAAATAGAAGTCATTTGTGAGGAGAAATGCCAATTAATTCTTAGGAGATTTTCAATGTGAGTAGAATTCCAAGGGAAGGAGTGAGAATGAAAAGGAAATCTGAAATGAACTCAATGAATATTAGGAGAATCTTTCGAAAGGGTTTCTTATTGTGGAGAATTCCAAGGAAAACTAAACGAAAATTAAATTCGCAGGATAGCTTCACCAAAATTTTGAGGAATATTTCAATGGCAATCTCCGTAGAATATGGAATGGACTATTTTGAGGTTTTCAAAACTACTTGAAAGTTCCCAATTTTTTTCCTGAAGATAATGAAACTGCCTTGAAGTTCTTTTGTAGTTTGAGAAACTAGCCTGAGACTCACAATACTTCTCATCAAATTCTTAAACTTCTCTGAACTTTTTAGGACTTCCTAAAGTTTTTCAATGATCGTGGATGTCCTCTAAACTATTAACAATTTGCTGAAGTTCTCTAAACTGTTTTAAAATTTATGTGACTTCTCTAATGTTAACGGAAGTGCTCTGAGGTTCTTTGTTCTTTTCTGAAATTCTCAAAACTTCTCTAAAGTTTTAGCAGTTCTCATGAATCTTGTTGTATTGTGCTGAATTTAATTGAACTGCCCTAAAAATGTTTAAGCTTCAGTGAGCTTCTGAACGTAAGTGAAGACCTCAATTAACTTTTTAACGTCTCTGAAGTTATCTGAAAATCTGGGAACTGCTTTAACTTCCTACTAATTTTCTGAAACTGGCCTCCCCAATGTTCATAAAAAATCCTGAAGTTCGCGGATCTCTCCTTAAGATCCAAAGATTTCTATAAAGTTCTCGAAATGTTTGTGAAGACCACAGTCTCTCTGTGAAGTTTTCGAAGTTTTTCTAAATTTCTGGAACTTTTGTGCTACTGAAATTTTCATGGAATTAGAACGAAATAATTAATATAGTTCTAAGATTTTCATTGAAGTTCTCAAGATTTTTTTGAAGTTCACTTCCCTTAAATACACTTATTTAAAACTTTTTCAATAGTCTAGACTTTACTGGTGGTATTTAAACTGCCTAAACGATTATTGAATTTCCTTAAAGTTCTCTAGACTGCCCTGAATTTTCAGTATTTTTTTAAGGACCCGCAACTTTACTGAAATTCAATTATTTGCCTTGAAGTTTCGACAATTTCCTTTAAGTATTATAAACATTATAAACGGTCCCTAATTTTCCCTGAACTTATCAGTGGTTACCTGAAGTTCTCTTAATTTGTTTGATAATCCAGCAATTTGTTTGATATATATTCATAATTCCCTGAGTTTCTCGCAACTTCTTTAAGGTTTTTACAATTTCCTTGAAATTGTTTGAACTGCCTTTTGATCCTATAATCTGTCTTGATGTTCTCGAAGCTTCCCTAAAACTTTCAATTCTATTGAAGATCTCGGTTCTGCTGCTCGGAAATAAATGGAATTCCCGTAAAAACCTTTAAATTTCCCTGAAATTCTCTGAACTTCGGTGAAGTTTCTGAAATATTTCTGAAGCTTTCATGAATTCTCTGAACGACTCTGTACTTCCCTGAAATTCTCGGAACATCTTAAAGGTTCTCGATTTTTTTTCAGTATATCATGGAACTGTCCTGAATTTTTCTAAATTTACGAATATAGATATTCAAACTGCTCCAAAAGTCTGGACTAAAACTACGAAAACTGCTCTTAAGGTCTGAAATTCCCCAAAAAAAATCTCTAGATCTAGCTTTTCTGAGGTACTTAGAACTTCTTAAAAAATTGCACAATACCCCTCATGTTTTCTATATTTCTCAAGTTCGCTTGACACCTGTGAAGTTCTCTGAAATTCTAGGAACTTCATAAAAGTTCCCGAAAATTTTCGGATGCTAAAAGAACCGCTTTGAGGTTCTTAAAGCTTCCAGTAAGTTCCCCATATTTTCAGCGTATTAACTTCCCTTATGTTCCCGCAGTTTGTTTATGGAGCTTCACTGAAATTCTCATCATTTATTTTCATTACTCATTAATTCGCCAAAGTTCTGTGACACCCTGTAGATAGAGAAAGACGATTAAACGCCCAAGGCAAAGAATGATCAATCTGGAAATAAATTCACGCTAAAAAAGTTGAAAATAGTGACTGATTACAAGAAATAGTGACTTTAGTGACTTGGCCTTAAAAAAAGAGATTTTTTAGTGACTGGCTTGAAAAAGTGACTAAGTCACTAAAAAGTGACTCACTACCAACCCTGGTGTTGGCAATAGGTTCCTCAGAAAATCGATTAAATTACAATATTCGTGCATTTTGTGGTCGAAATGTTTATGTACACCGATGAATATGATTTGTACCAACAAACTGAACGCATCTGAACATATCAAAGTTGTAAGCAACGTGAAATATCGTCAAAAGGGGACCAAAATAGGAACTAGTGCGTTTCCCCTACTGTTTTTTTTCGATTCTTGATTTACATGTAAGAACACTAGTAAAAGCAATCGAAAAGTCGATTTTCACGGTTTTTATACCCATCAGCAAACCATCGAAAAATGACAACAATTTAACGGTTTTATAACACTAACCCGAATGTAACACTTTCTCAAATTCAATTAGCCCGAACACGTATAATAAATATGTCTTTCAATAATGAGAAGTTCTTTATCCGAGACTTCGGAAAACTTCTAAAAATCAGAATTCGAATGTTAATCATGTTACCATGCTTCTGCGTTCATTTCCCTGCAGATACAGGGTGGCGACTCAATAATGAGCTAAACCAAATTCCGTGATATTCCAGTAATGTTTGAAAAAATCCAGGTACAGTGCCTACCCGGTTTTGGCAATACGACCTCATCAGCTATAACTTTCGTCAGATATGTAATGTACTACACTCAAAATAATCTACACGTTGAAGCTACGTGTAAAATCACGTAAGCTCTCACTTTTTCCTCTCCTCTCAGTTTTACGTGGCTCACGTGGAATATACACACTTAGATTTTTTGTCGAGATTGGCACCACCGAGCAAGCTCGGCACTTATTTTTACTGAGATCTCAGCAAAATTTATGTTTGTTAGCCGAGATCTCGGCAAAATTCCGGTTTGTTAACTGAATATCGGTAAATTTTTCACTGAGATCCAGCAAAATAGATTGCCGAGCTGCTCGATGGTGCCCATCTCGGCAAAAAAAAATCTAAGTATGTATGTGATGTTCATTGAATTTCACAGAATGTTCCTTTTTAACACACCTACATAATCAATGAAATGTACGTGATTTTCACATAACACTGAGTCCATTTCCGCGTCTAAAAAAGAGTGGTAGGTAGGTACACTCAGAGCGTTGCAAATCATGGCGGTATCACGATATCCTTTGTTCGGTATTTTTGAAAGATAGTGGCAAGATGTAAGTATAAAATTATGGATTTTTTTTCTCAACAAAAACAAACTGACTGTTTCATCGTGCTCAACAGAATGATATCAAGCTGTCCAGCAGTTTTTTTCCTCTAAGGAAAAAAGCACCTCGGCCCATCCCAATGATCGTCCAGATTGTTTGTGCTGCGTATCGAATATTAAAAAAAAAACTGATGTTGGGAGGTTCATTAATTATGTCACGCAAATTTGGACCATTTTAAACCCCCCTCCCCCCTTTGTCACATTTTTTGTATGACTCTTCACAGTTTCCAATACCCCCTCCCCCTAAAAGTGTGACATAATTAATGGACGATCCCTGTGGTGTATTTAGAATATATGAATATATTAAAGGAATATTATTATATTTTACTACTATGAATACAGTAAAAATTTTATCAACATATTAAGGTAATATTTGTATAAACAGTGTCAAAATATTGCTACACACAAAGCACAAAAATTGTTGCTATAAAAATAATGTATAATCAAATTAAAAGTTTCCCAAAATTCGTAGTTTCAATTATGAAAGTTTTCAAAATTAAACTTATATTTTTGATTTAGAAATGTTTCTTTCACTTTCGACTTGTAATTTTAAAAGTGACTTTTTTAAATAAAAGTTGTAAAACTGTCA